TTCATATTAATTTTTGGAAATTTAAAAATATAATTATCATATTAAAATAAAAACATTATAGATATTAATAATATGTACGGACGAGTTAGCATTGCTTAATCAAATAAATATTGGAGTTGTAACAATCAAAAACTTTCTGGTCCTAATTTGAATCTAATTCCTTTTTGTCTCATCTCTTTTCATAATTTATTCTTATTTGTTTTTACAAAATTATTTTTTAATTACGCTAATTTAAATAGCTAAAAAATAGCATCGTAATTCATATCATATAAGACATCACTTAGTAGATCATCTCGAATACATACAGGAAATGATCTGTCGTGTGGTTCATATCGTGTAGAGCACAATTTTGGTAGATTATCTTATATACATGCACGGAGTAACCTATCATTTGGGTTCATATTGCATAAGACACGACCCAAGTAGAATCACGTTAAGTACATGCAAAGAGCGACCCTGTAAGCAAGCTCGTATTGGTATAGTACGACCCTATCAAAATTTGTTACATTCAAGGAACGACTAGCATGTGTGCGCACATCATGCATGACACGACCCTAAAAGAATCCCATCACATACATGCAAGAAGTGACCTCATATGCTGTAATAGCTCATACTCACTTTTAGCAAATATTGTCCTTTTTGGGCTTCCCCTTGAGGTTTTTAAAACACGTCTGCTATAGAAAGGTTTCCACACCCTTATAAATAATGTTTTGTTCCCCTCTCCAACCGACGTGGGATTTCACGATTCACCTCCCTTCAGGGCCTAACGTCCTCGTTGGTACTCATCCCCTCTCCAATCAAGGTGGAATCTCATAATTCACCTCATTCAGGGCCCAACGTACTCACTGACACTCATTTTTCTTTTCAATCGATGTGAGATCTCACACATGTGAACTTATATCATTAAGGCACGAACCTATTAAAATTTGATATATACAGAGAGTGATCACGTGCTTTATCGTGTATGACATACCCCCAGTAGAAATCACATCGTACACATGCAACAAGTGACCTCGGGTTCTTATCATGTAGTCACGATCCTATCATTATCAACGCTAGTGATTATATGGTCTCTATCAATCTAGACTCTATAAATTCACATATATCACAATAATCATAATCATCAGTTATATTAATTCATCTTTTTTTAGATGGAATGTTAATAATTCATGACAAAAATGAGTTTAGGAAGAGAGAGAAAAGGGTAAATTGGTAATTTCACATGTATGGATGTACTTGAGGAGAGAGATAATTAAGGGATTATGAACTAAACCTCGGGAGGCTGCCTGTCTCGTCCTTTGAATAAGATTGAAAAGATTTCGAGGTTGTCTTGTCTAAAGTCCAGTTGGCATGTAACATAGGGATTTTCCTAAAAAGGTTGTTTTTTTTTTTTTTTTTAATAATTAAAAAATATTAATAAAAACTTTATGGGATTATTAATTTTTAATTTGAGAGTTAAATTTAATCTATTGAGTTTATTTAATGTTGGTTCTCGGTACCGACCAATTTCTAGAGCATGTATCATTCTTTCACTCACGTGTCACGTGCCTACTAGCTTCCACATTGGTTCTCCGAACCACATCTTATTGGAAGAAGTATCGCTCTGATACCACTTGTATCGCTTCATCCCCACGATTCAGAATCTAGAATCGGCATTTATTTGCCTCCACATTCCCCTGCATCGCTTATTACAAGATGCACGTTCATTTCGACGGCTCAATCATAAAACTAAAAGTAAGCGTGTTTTACTTTGAACAATCATATATTAGGTGACTTCTTATATATCGTGTCGATTAAAATTTATAATTTAACCTAAATTTTTATTAATAAATTTAGAATCTTGAAACTAAGATATTAGAGATTCGATTATTCAAACAATGTAGCACGCAGGTGATGGCTTTATTGGTCCACAACGAAGGCCACAAGTCCACCAACCAAAGTTTGACATGTAATCATATAGTGTCACGCTCCCATTTCGTGATTATATTCCACGTGTTATTCAAACGGTCCAGGAAATGTAATTTATTTATGATTTAATTTTCTAATAATTATATTATCTTGAGAACATTTTTTATTTATAAAATTAATAAATATGTAGGAGTTATTTCTCACATATTTTTTTAAAATTTTCAATGCACAATTTTAAATATTAATTCACAAAAATAACACACTTTTTTTTAATTGAAAAATATAAAATTCGAAAAAAATTATTATTTATTTTGAAAAATATATATTTCTCTCTCTACAAAACACGGTGGGGTGGGAAGAGGAGAGAGAAGAATCAAACATATAGAATTTAGAGTCAAAAAGGGGATTTTAAAATAAATGAAAAACAAATCCTGTAATCTTGGAAGAATTTGAATCGTTGATTTGGTTGTTTGGTGCCAGTAAATGGACGGCCAAGATAGGTTGAGATTACGTCAGAATTCGACAGTAGTAAAAACGACGTCGTTAAGGGAGTTGGTGAGAAGTCTTAAATGTCGAGCGCCGGTGGTCGGGTCGACCCGGGATTTGCACCACGTGTCGGCGAAGTACCCGGAAACCGGACCAGATGGTCAGCCGGTGGTGGAAAAGTGGATTTTGACTTGGAAGATTAATGGCCACAAGTGGAGTGGCAGTTTCGTAATTAATGGCTCGTCTGTAATTGGTTCGCGTAACTGGCCCAAGTTCCCGAGTGTCGGTGAGCTATTTGCTCGTTTTTTAAGTTGTTGTAATTTACGGGCCGACCTATACTACTCTTCGTGAGCTCTGTCTTGTTTTGTAAATTCCCTTTTTTATGGGCTAAATTTAATCTCTTTTTTTTTTTAAAAAAAAAAAACTCCCACATTTTGCATATTATTAAAAAAAAAAAATCATATATATTTTTTTAAATATTAGTCTTCAAAATTATATTTAGAATATAAATTTGCTCGAACTTTGAAAAGATGTTATTTGAATGTTCATGTTTCTCAATGATGGTATAATTATTGTCTAATTCGATTATAGCCTCACATGAATTTGCTTTGGGCTTCTCAAAAGACCTCATACCAATAAAGAAAGTATTTTTTGATTATAAACCCTCGATTATTCTCTAAATTAATCGATGTGGGCCAACTAACAGTTTAAATTGCGACAACTCTCATCACAGCCTAACAACCTTTGCCTCGACAAAATTTCAAAATTAATGTTGATGATTCGATTTCAGGCTCGAGATTTTTGTCAAATGTGTTTTAGATTTGGAAACTGACCCATATCATTTAAACTAAAAAGTTTATTATCTTTCTCTTACCATAAATAAAAGCTTAAATACCTAATTTACCCTTCATTTTTTAAAAATATATAACTATTTTACAATAAACTTAACAATTAATTAGTTATAAATAGTTTTGTATAACTATACCTTAAGGGTAAAAGGAACCATAGATTCCTCAAATATCACAAAAAAAAAAAAAAAAAAAAAAAAAAAAAAAAAAAAAAAAAAAAAAAAAAAAAAAAAAAAAAAAAAAAAAAAAAAAAAAAAAAA